GGCTTGGATGCTGCCTCTGGCCACATATACAAATAACTTAAAACCAGAGTCCTCCCCTCTTCCTCCTCACGTCCTGCCATCTCGGACTCCAGAGAAACCTGACAGGACACCTCCCTCAGACGGGCCTCTGCCTGTGGAGACGGCCAGCTCCCCACTCGGGACCTCTGTCTCTTCCTCTGTGCGGTGGGGACCTTCCTGACCCACACGCTGTCATCTTAGTGGCCGGGAAGGAGGGGTCGCCCTCTGAGCCCAGAGCCGGGCACATGGCAAGCCTCCGACAGCTGCCTGCCCTGTCCCTGGTTCTATCCTGGGGGCAGGGAGGCAATGTGGCTTCAGGGAAAGAGAAGGCAAAATACAAAACCGGGGCAGGAAATGCTTTCTGGGGAAGGGGCCACCTTGCCATTCCTCAGTGCCTCCTCCTAGTCATGACATCTAAAAAAAAAACCCATCCTCATCCTCCACAGACCGCATTCTCTTTCCCGGCCACTGACACTGCCCAGCACAAGCCTAGCTCCTCCTACTTATCCCCAACCCATACACTTCCGCCCCTCTGTCAACAAGCCAACCTCACATTTTCCTTCTGTTCGAAAGGATCCCAAAACTCATCAAACGCAAACTGGACCCAAATCTATGCACACTCCACACATCTGTGTCTGCCCCGCCCCCCCCACACTCTGCAAAACTTGCTCTATTCTCCCAGGCTCGCTGTGCTATTCGAGGCCAACGAAAACTAGGTGAAGAAAAATAAAATCAGTAACATCCCCCAAAAAAACAAAACTCGGAGAACACCAGGATCCCTGGTCCAATCCCTAGCTCAGCACAGGAATCCTATTGCAACCCTGACGCTGCTGCAGCCTCTGCTTGAATTCCCCAGTGGACAGGGAGCTCACTACCTTACAACTGCTTCCATTACTGAGCAGCCCTAACAGAAGTGGGCCCCTCATCTCCTTCCCTGTGACCGCGACAGACATGTTCTGTGTCCTTGAGTCAGGATGGGAGAGGCCTCCTTCCCATGAGAGACCCCTCATGGGCCCCTTGTCTTCCGTCCCCCAGGACCCCCCTCTGTTATCTGCACAGCCGGGCTCCTGCACACTAAGAACACACACCGCATCTGAATTTTATTATAGGAAACGAATGAGCCCACTGCCATTGTTCTTCTAGCCACAATACCAATGAAAATGTGCTTTAGGTTATTTTACTCTTTCTAAAAATAACACTCTAAGTCTTTTCATATCAGTTTTCTTTAAAAGCAGTGTGGTACTACTTCCCTTCATGGCTTAACACAGATGTTGCACAGTTCATGGTTTTATACCTGTTAAATAAGCAAGGATTGAAAACAGCGGCGCTCCCCCGCGGGGGACCCTGAGCTCGCCTATGGCTGGTGGCAACGTGCATGAACCCAAGCCTCTCAGAGAACAGTCTGTCAGCCTGTTTCAAGAGCCATAAAAACACCCACACCCTTTGACCCAGTAATCCCGGTCCTGGGAGTTTATCCTAGGAAACTAGTTTTTTAAAAAGGAAGGAAGGGGGGAAGGTTACATGCATTAAGATATTAATTCAAGCAATTTCACAGTCAGCAGGAGGAGAAGGGGGAAGTATGATTTCATCCACTTAGGAGCATGCATGCAAGTGCAGTCAATGAAAACTACAGACTATTCTGCAACTCAAACTCGATGAATGCGACAGCCTGAGAAAGCACGCTTACAATTTATGTGCAAATAGATCAGCACTGACGGCAACAGGGGGAATTCACAGTAGTTGACTGGATCTGCTGGTAGGATGAGGGTGATTTTATTTTGAAAAAGTCCTCATTGTAAGAATTGCTATAAGTGAGATAAAAAGAATCAGGCATTGCCACTGGGACACTCCCGCAGTAACAAAAATTAAGGCGGGAGGCTGCAGAGTTCAGTGTGAAGAGATTGGCCGAGTCCCCTGGCTGTTTTGTGTTTGGGGGGCTGCCCCACGTGTTCCAGGGAGAAATCTAACACCTGTCCGTCCACCTCCGGGGAGGGGGGCGGGGGAAGGGGAGCTAATTGAGAAAAAAGCATATCATAGTGCCTCATGCTACCTGGAGCAGCTTGGAGGAAGTTTAGGGTGAATGGATTAATTTTATTTCTCCCTAAAGGGCAATCAATCACAGCACCGCCATAAACATAGGATATTCTTAAAACAGACACTTAGCTTCCAGGGCCCCGCCCCCCCACCCCCACCCCAGGGTGAATAGGGTACAGGCAGGATGATCAGATAATCCCATCCCCATTCTGGCTGCGCCCACTGTGCCTATAACCACCTGTCCGTGGGGAGAGGGCAGAACAACCAAGAAGCGCCGAGTCCTCCGGCCACAGGCAGGGGTCTATGGAGGAATGGCACCCGGCATGCGGGACCCAGGCGGGAGGACAGGGAGAGGGCAGTGGCCACGCCAGGGGCATGCACCCCGCCTCTGGGAGCCAGGCAGCAGGCACGGGGTCACTGGCATCCCCGCTCTGGGGACAAGCAGTACCCAAGGTGATGGTGGCGTAAATGACTCCTTCGGGCACCTGCACCCATCTGGGGACTCCGGTGGAGGGGGCTCTGCCGGAATGACCTGTGTGATGGCCAGAAGCACAGACAAGGGCGAGATGGAGAGAGACAAGGTGAAGAGAGGGACAGGCCACGCGCGGACACCGAGAGAGACCCGGATGAGGCAGAATGGCTGCCGGCCACCAGAAGGTAGTGCTTTCTCATTGCAGGTGTGGGCTTGTCGGGAGAGGCCCTGGGCCGGCCACGGACTTCATTTCCCAGCCCCCTCACATCCACAGGCGGCTCGTCACCAGGGCGGAGCGTGGGTAGAAGCAGTGCGTGTCACTTCTAGCTGGCGCTTCTCAGAAGCAGATTGGGGTTTCCCCACGCTCTCTTTGCAGAGGATTCTGTGGTCTCAGAGGCGGCCGAGCCCACCCTGGCAGGAGCTGGGGAACCCACACTAGCTGCTGACCCTCGATACCACACTGACCTGTCCGTGGGCGAGAGCAGATCGGTGTTGTGTTACCAGGAACTGAAAGGGGGTAACTTGTTACAGCAGCTGTCATTACCCCAACAGGAGACATCATCCATGAAGGAGCGGATGTCTTGGGCAAGCAGGACAGACACGACTGTCCCCTGCACGGGCCACCGGCACTTACGGAAGTGTTGCTGGGAGAGAGGAATCTGACCCCGGGGGGGAGGGGGGCAGTGTGGGGACAGTGCTGAGAGCAGGACAAGAAACCGAGACACCGGTCTTGCAGGAAGTCAGCGACGTCGCTTGCTGTTGGCCGATGAACTAGAGCAAAGGGCTGATGCCCCGGGCCAGTCCTCCTGCTGTGACCTGCGTGTCCACCACTCACACAGGGGTGGGGACCACGGCCAGGAACCGAGAGCAGGCCGGGTACGTCACAGGTGGCGCCCCCTCTGCAGGGCAAGTGTGGCCAGTTCTGCCCACGTCACCCTCGGCCCTTGTCCTGGCAGGAGAGGAAGGCAAAGCTGGCCTCTTCCCCAACCCTCCGGCTGCCCGTGGGATGACTATCCCGCCCCCCCCCCCTTCCCCCATCTCAGCTAAAACCAATATGAACTCACAGCCCAGAGACAGACACCAGAAACTCGGCCCTTCTGACCACTTGTTTGCGTCGAGATGTAGTGTCTGCCCCGCAGACAGGCCCCTGGGAGCGTCGGGGAGGCAGGTCCCGGCCGGCACTGGCCACACCCAGGAGAGCACCCCAGGCTTAAGATACCACGGAGGTGAGGTGCCCACCGCGGTGAGTCACTTCTTCCTCCTCCTCCCAGACGCAGCCAGACGGGAGCGACACGCCCACAGCTTCGGCCTGAAATCACAGCTCGGCCGGAGGCTCCAAAACATCTCACAAGCTCAGAGGGTTCAGGCTACGGGACACCTGCCCACCACGCCGGCCTCTCCGAGGAAAAGAACCTCAGACCAAACAGGCCCTCGCCTCCCACACACAGTTCCTGGGCGGAGGGCGGCAGGGGAGCGTGAAGACAGAGACTCCGACGCCCCGGCTCCGAGGGCCTGCCCCTCTCATCCCTGGGCCCTTCTCTGTGGAACCAGCCACGCCCCCTGCAGTTCATTCCCACGACCAGGGGCCCTCATCTCTGACATCCACAAACTGCTTTATGCTTTCAAAGACCTTCGCTTACAAGGGAAGGGGGTACGAAGGAGACAGCTGCCGGGGTCACAAACATCTCTTTCTTCCAGAACCTGGGAGGGCCGGTGTTAAAGAATTCCTACATAGCCCGGCCGGCGTGGCTTGACGGTCAAGTGATAACCTATGAACCAGGGGGGCACGGTTCGATTCCCGGTCAGGGCACATGCCTGGGTTGCGGGCTCGATCCCCAGTGGTGGGCGTGCAGGAGGCAGCTGATCGATGATCCTCTCTCATCACTGATGTTTCTGTCTCTCCCTCTCCCTTTCTTTCTGAAATCAATAAAAATATTTTTTTAAAAGAATTCCTACACCAAGAGATCGAGAACCTGAAGGCTGTGACTTTCTGACTCCCAACACACCTCTCTTCTGACACATTTCTGTGCTGAATCCAGACACATCCAGGTGGGAACACCCAAAGCATCGGGCCCCTAAACCAGCTCGCTGTGGACCATCCCGACCCCTCCTTGCAGGCACGCGGGGGGTGGGGGGGGGGGGCGGGGGGGGCTGCTGCAGGTCTCAGCTCCCCACCTGAGCAGAGGCTCAATGCTCTGTGGCCAGTTCTCAGCTTCAGCCACGCCCTCTGGCAAGAGCAGCCCAGGCTGTCCTTGCTGCCAGCACCCATCTGTGCAGGGAGCGGTTTACCCCCACCCCCACCCAAGTCCCAGCCCAGGCCCCGGGATGTACCATTGAGGGACATGTCATATGGCTCGGCCTCTTCATAGTAACCCTCTGGAGACTCGATCTTTGGGATGGAGAGCTGTTTCCGTTCTGGAATCTGTGGTATGAACAAATAAAACATTTTTCAGATACGATACACTGCCAACAACACGGAATTAACCCTTTGGGTGGAAAGAGGGGGAAGCCCAGAAGAGAAAACGCTCAGTTGGACGTCAAGCGAGTTGGGAGGGAGGACTCGGACCACCAGGACCCCATCCACTGTGTTTGCACTGTATCCAGTGAGGGGATATGGGCACGCTGCTTAACCCGCCGAGACCAGCTTTCTCCTCCTCGGAGTGAGGCTCAGATCCCCACCGCACACACCAACTACCCTTACACACGGGACACCCAACACGCAAAGTCCAGAAGGTGTCAGGCTGTGTGTAGCTAAATAGAATATACCTTCTAAAAAGACAAGGACTGCCTGGCCGGTGTTGCTCGTGATTGAGTGTTGACCTATGAACCAGGAGGTCACCAGTTCGATTCTCAGTCAGGGCACATGCCTGGGTTGCGGGCTCCATCCCCAGTGTGGGGGCCTGCAGGAGGCAGCCTGTCCATGATTCTCTCTCATCACTGATATTTCTCTCTCTCTCTCTCTCTCTCTCTCTCTCTCTCTCAAATCAATAAAAACATTAAAAAACAAAAATAAGACAAGGACTAATCAGAGGCCCATGGAGGAAAATGACCGGGTTCCTAAGGATTTAGAAACTTTTACCATAATACGTTCAATCATTCATTCAGCAAATACTGGATGGCTCCCGTATATTAGCTGCGCGGGACACACTCCTGTGGTCAAGAAAGCCTTAACTAGCGAGTGTTCACAGCTCCGGATCAAGTGCATTGTGAACGGTGCTGTAGTAGACGAGGTCAAAGTTCGGTGGGAACCAGGAGGGTGTGAGGAACATTTAGGACCAAGGAAGGATGCCCAGAGGACGGGACCTTGGAGCTGCGTCTCAAAGACAACCCCGAGGTTCGTAGGTGGCATTGGGGTGGAATGTGCACCAGTGGGAGAGAGAGCCACCTCGTTACACTGACACGATGGCCCATTTCAGAGGTCAAAGGAGCAAGAGATCCTAATGTCCCGGGTTAGGGATAGAGAACTATTCTTATCATCATCATCATCATCATCATCATCATCATGAAGATTAGGAACATGAAGTGAAGATGCAGAGAGAAGTGACATCAAAATCTGCCTGCAGGGTCGCAGGAAGGGACGGGAGAAGGCCACCGGCTCCGCAGGATTGGCCAGAGGTCGGCAAACTTTTTCGGTAAAGGGCCAAACGGAAAGCACTTTCGGGGTTTGCAGGGCCTCTGATCTCAGCCCGTCAAGCCAGCTGATGCAGTGCAAGAGCACCCGCAGATGATGCAAAGCTCAGCAAGTGTGGCTGCACTCCGGTAAAACGCCTCACGGAAAAGCGGGTGGCTGCGGATTTGGCCGGTTCTGATAGAGATCAGGGCTGAAGCTGGTGGCCTGGGGTGGCCCGATGGCCTGGGGTGGCCCTGCACTTCTGAGCAACCTGCCCCAGAGAGCCCTGTGGGAGGTTCCTGGGTGGGGCTGGTGCATCTGGCCAGGCCAGCTCTGCAGACTGACGGTGCTGATGTCCTTAATGCAGTGGCCGCCCACCCAGAGCAGCTCACTTACTGTGAAACCAACAGTGATGCGTGTCGGGCCTCTGAGGGAGGTGGGGGGCAGGGTGGTGGCGGTGCTGGCCAGGGCACCAACGGTGTCAGCGCACATCTGTTTCTCCCCCAGTGACCACAGCCCCTGGCGGTGCAGCCAGTGGCCTGAAGTGCCACCGCGGCCTGAGTCACTGGCCACACCCACGAGGTTCCTCTAGACCCCTGGCTGACCCTTCCATTGCTGGTCAGGTCTGCTGTGCACTGACTCGGGGGGGAAATGGAGGGGGACCCAGCCAGTAGAGAAAGAATCAGGACATCCTGAGCCTGGGAGAGAGGCCATCCTCCTGGCCCGGCCACAAGCATGGAGGACCCCAAAGCCCAGGCAGACTCCAGCTTCTAAAACAGCCACTCGCAAGCCTGGGGCCAGCAAGCCATCAAGGCACCTAAAGCTCCGGGGTCAGGGTGGGAAGGGCGAGGCTTTCTCTGTCTGAAGAAGAGAGGTCACAGGGTCACTCCAAGCTCATGCTCCCAAACTGCTGCTGCTGCTCAGGTCCTCCCCCCCCTCCTCCTCCACCCTCCTCTACTCCCCATCCTTCTCCCTCCTACCTCCCTTCCTCTTCCTCCCCTC